ATAACTGACCTTGTGGACCTTCCCCATCGGCCGGTTCTTGTTCGATAAGCTGTCTGACAATACGGGAGCTACCATATCCCATAGCGAGACACCGAGTGAATATTATGAAAAAGAACGTTTGGTTATCTAACATAACCCCAGTTCTTAGAATAATATGAGCGAGGTGTCTCGCCAGACAACCCTTCTTGCAGGGCGGCGAGAAGAGGTTTGCTTGTTGAATTGGAGTGCCGTGATCGGCACACGCTTTAGTAGTCGGAGCTACGGGGCGTGGCGTATGACGGGCACTTCCACCGGCCAATCAGGATTGGCAGATTGAGATAGATGCTTCTATCAGGGCTGCAGGAGGCTGCATCCCATAGCGAGACACCTCGCTCATATTATTCTAAGAACTGGGGTTATGTTAGATAACCAAACGTTTCACAATCCTCTCCAGGGTGCGGTTATCTCTCTTGCTTGTACACTTTTTTCGACCACATCTTTTCCTTCCCTTCGCCTCTCTATTAATGTGCTTGGACACTGAGCTCTGTGAACAGCCAGCCTCTTTAGCGATGACCTTTTGTGTCTTGCCCTCCTTGTGCAAGGTGTCGATGGTCGTCTTTTGGACAACTGTCAAGTCAGCAGTCTTCCCCATGATTGTGTAGCCTATAGAACTAGACTGAAAGACCATTTAAAGGCTTTTGCAGGTGGTTTGAGTTAATTAGCTGATTAGAGTGTGGCACCAGGGGCCATCAATTTTGAACCTTTTCACAATATTCTAATTTTCTGATATGATGAATTTGAGATTTTCATTTGTTGTCATTTGTAATCATCAAAATTAAACAAAATAAACATCTGAAATATATGAGTTTGTATGTAATGTATGAATATAATATACAAGTTTCACTTTTTAAATGGAATTACTGAAATCAATCTACTTTTTCATGATATTCTAATTTTATGACCAGCACCTGTAGATCAACACACAAGCATTCGCAAAACACAATAAAAGTAATAAAGAAACTAAAAAATACTAACAGCTTCTCCAGAAACTACATTTAAAATGTCACATTTTAAGAATCAAACTTAAGCCTCAAAACATTTATTAAATACCTGTATAAATATTAACTGCATGTATCAAAGAAAACCCTCAAATAAATTTACAGACAAGCCAAGAGATATTAAAAAAAATAAAATACGAGGATTTAAATAAAATAATCTTCAACAATCAACAGGTTAGTAAACTAATAATTATAAACCTAAAACTTAACACCATTTTTACTTCTTTTTAATAAAACTAACAGCATAATAACATGAATCTGCCATCAAACAGGACAGACAGGTAAACTAAAAGACGATGTTTAATTTTCCAATGGCTGTATGAATGTTTGGAACGATAGGCATAGTGAGAAAATCAATATTTAAATATTTAAAATAAATATTTCCATGCTCCTTTTCCTTATTTCTATAATTATTCAACCTTTAAACCACTAATAAAGACCTGAATGCTGTTTAAGGCTATTAAGAAATCTGACAAGATGAATCTAAAGTTGGTCAAATAATCTACAGAGCCTGGAAATGTCCCATTAAACAATTCAGAGGCCCTTTGTCCAAACCTAAAGTAAATTAAAATAAGTTGGCATGGATTTAATTACGAAAAGTACTAAGAATCAAAAAGACATTTAGAAAATGTTGTAATCAAGCTTAAACAAACATTTCTCATTAGAACAAAACAGATTGGATCAGAGGCTCATGTGTTCTTCCTGCATCAACATCAAACGGTTACCACCTCAAAACGGCTAGCTAGCTTTAGCATTTCGCAGGTGTTTAAAGAGGGGAAGTTAACAGAGCATCTGACTCAAAAACGCAGCTTCTGGTAGATGAAAATATTGGGGAGTGGCGGGCTAGTGGTTAGGGCATAGAGCTTGGAATCCAAAGGTTCTGAGTTGGAGCCCCACTTCTACAGACTGCCCCTCTTGTGTCTCTGAGCAAGACCCTTAACCCCTCGCTTCTACCCTGGCACCCCACTGCTCCCAAAGAGGATAGGTTAACCACTAAGGGCAAAGTTCTCTAATTATTATTATTATTATTTATTTTTTGTCATTTCATTAATTGCAAATAGAAAGAAATTCCCTGACTTAATAATACTAGACATGAAAACTTTCAGTTAAGTTAATACTAATACCTCTGGTGATGCTTCTGTGCTGATTTAGATTCTGACTCCATTAAATATTACATACAGTGGTGACCTGAATATAGTGACCCATAAAGTGAAAACCACAATCCAATAATACTGGATATGAATTAGTCTTTCTAAGAAAAGGCTTTTTCAATTCAGAGCGTCAACTGAGAGCGGCACACAGACAACGGCTTAAAGACACAAACAAAATGACAAATAAGCTGCAGCAGTGTTCACAAATACAAGCAGCAGGAAGGCAACAGTTTAGAGCCAAAATTAGCTCAACCCTGCTAAAAGTATAGTTAGAGTTGAACACAATTTTTTACCAACACTTCCTTATTTCCCAGTTTAAGAGAAAACCAGTCAATCACCGACTACCACAAACAGACCACAGCTAGTCCATCCGAGACATATTTGTCCGATCAGGTGAACTGAAAGCAGTCTATTACACATAACAATCTAAAACACAATTATCTGAATTTCGAATTATGTAAATAGAACATTATCTTCAGTCTTCATTTCTGAAGGGAACTCTAGGTCTTGGGTGTCAAAAAATATCTTGGTAAGTTTAGATCAAAGTAGACCCACATGTCCAAATAAACCTACCATTATTATCCATTCAATTACAGGGCCTACATCATGCAAAATCAACTTTTCTGAGCTTATAACTATGTTATAATGCTATTCGTGCTTTAAAATCATACCAAATCATTTATCCACTCGATTTAGGCCCCGTCCACACAAAGTCAAAACGAACACGAAACGCTAATATTTTCCAGAACGTTTGTCGTAAAGACGGAGACGTAAAATAAATGTGATCGTCCACACGAATGCATGAAAACGCTGCAAAATGTATGCCAGGCCTGTAAGCGGCGCTGTGGTGCCAAAGCAAAAATAGGCGACGAAATGTTGGGCATGCGCACTAATATTTATACATGGTTGCCCTGCGGGTCCATTTTCGTGGTTAAGTCAAATTCAGGTGCTGAACTATGTCGTCGATATTGCTCCGTTCTTCCTGGAGATATTCCAGAAGAAGAAGATTCTGTTGTAAGCCCGACAGCAGGGTGAGTAGCATGAGCAGCAACCATTCAACACAGTACGGCGCCATTGTTGTTGTGATACTGTGTCGCGCATGTGTGTTTAGAGGCGACGCTATGACGCATGCGTGTAAGAAAAAAAATGTGGTTAGAGCTTAAAGATGGAAACGCGAAAACGGCGCTTCAAAATCTTTCCACTCTGAAGGCTTAATAAAAAAAAGATTGTTTACAGACCCCCGAAACGCCGGCTTTGTATGGATGAGAGACTGGTTTGGTGAAAAATTTGTGCGTTTAGGCCAGGGTTCGGCTTCGTGTGGACGGGGCCTTAGAGCATTCCTGATGAATTCTGCTGTCTGAGCAGCAACTCCCTACCACTTCAAGAAAATAAGTGGCCATCACCATTTAACAAAGAGCAGTGATCCTTCAACCCCACTAGGAAGTACCTACTTTGAATGCTCCAGGCCTGCAAGTCCATTTTCTATGATCAGCGAGGGATGATGTAAGACAAAGCGCTATAGCTTCTGCTCAAAGTTGAGTTGAAGGGGATAATTTAGTACCTAATTTGCATGGTATAAAACAACTGCTCTTTTTTTAGGCTAATTTTAAGTTTAAGTATGCAAAATGCCTAAGATTGTATTTAGCCTAATGGTCAGAAGTGGTGTAAAACTATTCTGGAGCAGCTCCAGGGTGACATCATGTAATCGGCGGGGTCTATGCAGGTCGCAGTAAAGGCAAGACCCTTTCTTCAAGGTTGGAAAAACACCACCAAAAAACGATACATTTTCATAATAAATAACTACCCCATAGAGCCAAAAGCAATATTTCATCATATATGTGCCTGCAGTTGCTCGGCTGACAGGGTGTCCCATCAGCTGAGCAACAAACAGGTGTTTTCTGTAATAGCACATTCAATACACTCACACTACCCCATTATTAAGGCATCGACAGGCTGACATTTATCAAAAACATGCAGGGTTTTTTTTTCTGAGCTGCAAAACCATTTCAGCACAAGGCCTCAGCTTCACAGAGGTAATATAAAACCATTAAAGATGATAACAGAGCTCATGTACATGCAGAGAGACAGATTATGTCGCATCAACGGGTGATATTCAAGGATTGACTACATTCTGACTTCTGAACTGAGGCGATATATAACATATTCAGAAAACCTCTAAACATGATTCATAAATTTTCCTCAAAACGTTGTTTTACATCTGCTGAGTACAGCTGTTGGGGTCAGGAGTAAACCAGGTCAGCGAATGTGAGCGGACCACAGGAACTAACATTTCCTGCTGACAGATTTTACTAAATGAAGCAACTCAGGTAACTCAGTATTTCCACTTTACCGCATTATAAAAAAACTACAAAAAAAACAACAACAATATCCTATGACCTTAGCAATAATTTCCTATGTTTAATACTAATGTAAAAAGCAAAAGTGGGCAGCGACCTTCATCCTAACAAAGTAATCTGGCCACATCCAGACACCACAAAATAAATAAAGAGGCGAAGGCACTGAAGGCCGGTTTTTCAGAGCACCACAGAGAACCCAGTGGCACATTATTCTTCCTCCATTTCTTTCTGTGTCTTTTAAAAATGCACAGCTGAATAAATAAAGAGCCTGGAGCTGAAATAAATGTATAACCAATGTCTCAGAATGACCCTTTAAAAGACGTCACAGAAGCAGAGCTCCACTGACAACACACTCTAATGTGGCTGTATGTTTATTAGCATGTCACTGGTGGAACATCCAACCGTCTGGATGGATTTTCCACACTGGGCTCTACCCACTAAAAACCTCCTCTCACCTTAACGACTCCTTGTTGGTTGGGCTGCTGTTGTACTTGCAGCTGAATGGTGAGGACCTTGGGCTGCCCTCCAGCCTGACCTGCAGCCCGAGCCTGGGTCAGCGCCGCTAGCTGGCTTCCCTGGAGCACCAGTTTGCCACCAGGGAGCTGACCCAGAACCAGCCTGGCAGGAGCCTGTGTCTGCTGCTGCTGACCTCCTGCTGTGACTTGCTGTTGAGCACTGACGGCTGGTGTGGTAGAACCAGTCTGCGACGGCTGCTGGAGGACCAGGGTGATGCGCTTGGCTTCACCTCCCTAGAAACAGAGAGACTAGATGTGACTCAGAATGATCTGGGCAGAGTTAAAGCTGCTTATTGTCTAAACCAGGGAGATCAAGCTTTAGACCTGGTTCTAAGAAACTATTTTGTATTTTGAGGCAGTGCATTTACCAGAGGTTCGTAGACGCTTACAAAAAAAAAATGTCACAAGGTTACGGTTGTGCCTACCTGTGTCTGGCCCTGCATGGCAGGTTGGAGCTGCACCTGACCCTGTGTTTGGACCTGGGCCGGAGCAGCCTGGGCCTGAGGCTGGACCTGGATTTGGACAGCTTGGGCCTGGGGTTGGACCTGGAGCTGGGTAGACTGTCCTTGGGGCTGGACCTGGATCTGAGCGGTCTGGGTCTGAGGTTGAACCTGGACAGTAGTCTGACCTTGAGCCATCTGCACCTGAACCGGCTGACCTTGAGTCTGCTGAGGCATGGATGTGAGCAACACCTGTTTGACCGGCCCGTTGGCAGACTGCAGCAGACGCTGCACCCCTGCAGCACCCACCTTGACTTGGGTTTGTCCTGGGCTAGCCTGATTTAAGATGGTACCTCCTTGCAGTATGGACATACCGGGCTTGAGAGGGGTACCAGACAACAGACGGATGACCTTCCCGCCCGTCTGGCCCGTGGTTCCTGACACGGCCTGCAGCACCTGGGCCTGACCCTGGGGGCCTTTGAGAATGACGATTTTCCCTCCAGCTTGCTGTGTAATGGCAGCTAACTGTTGGGGAGTGAGCTGGTGAGTTATCTGAGTCAGCTGCTGCGTGGTGGCAGTGGTGGTAATAGCTGGGGAGCTGGAAACGGTCAAAGGTGAGCTCAGCAAGACGGTGCTACTGGAAACCCCACTGGGGTTGCTGGCAACAGGGATGGTTGTCTGGGCCTGGATCTGTGGCACAGACTCAGCTGGGGCAGGAACTGGGGCTGAGGTCATGAAGGCTCCGGCTTCCACGACAGGAGCTACAGACACAGTCTGGGCAGAACCGACTGAGACCGGCTGCTGGGTAGGAACGGAAAGTGGAGCGGGATCTGGGATGACTGGAGTTGCTACAGGAACGCCAAGACTGGAGCTGACGGCGAGGTCAGGAGTGGACTCCGGCTCGCCTGTTGGGACAGCTTGCCCCAAAGCCAACTTTAGAGCTTCTTCCACGGGGTCCGATGACCCCTGAGAGAAGGAGTCATCTGGGAGGCCGTCCAAGTTAAATAGGGGAGTGTCCTCAAAGAGGTCCATAATGGGATCTGCCATCTTTGCCCACTCCACACAGGGAGTCGGGCAGAAAGTTTAAAAGACTCCGAGATGAAAGAGATATAGTAGTTGTCCAATTCTTCTCAACTTTTAGGTAAGCAGCTGAAAGAAAAAGATGACAAGAGAGCTCAAATATCAGCATTAATCATTTAAGGACTACATTTTAAAACACTGTATGAAACAACCTTCAACAAACAGCATCTTTCTGATGTTGAAGAAAATAACATGATTTGAAAGACTTTTGTAAATAAATAAATATTACAGATTATCTACCCATTTAAACTACTGCAAAACTTCGGCGTGGTTAAAATCGAACACTGCACATAACTCTGAACACATTATCTGTCAAACATGGCTGTGGTAGCATCATGCTGCACCGATAGGAAAGCTAGACAGCATTTATAAATGTAGCAAAACATCTATCAGAGAGGAAAAGCTGTTAGAAACTGTAACAGAGGGTTACCATTAAGAAGTATGGTGACCTTGAACATCCAGCAAGAACTGCAAAAGAATGCCTTAAATCGGAGCTCTTCGACAGGGGGTACTGCATGGGGGTCGTAAAAGTTTTGGTTGATTAAACCTTTTTTTTTTTAAGTGAAATCTCTTTAAATACAAATTAACATGAATTCAACACACTGTATGAAACAGATAAATTGAGGCAGAAGATGTCTTTCAGTCATCAATGCACACATTCAGAGACACACAGGAGCTCTTTCAAGCTGGGCACCGTTTCCTTCACAACACCTGTCCCATCAACGAGGAATCAGAAAAACTTTAATAAAACCAGGGCGAAATTACTTTCATTAAATGACTCCATCTGTAATAGAGAGACTGTAGGACCAGTTTGATATAACACAATTTCATACTATATATATATATATATATATATATATATATATATATATATATATATATATATTTAAGGGGTCTTCGCTGCTTCTCGTCAACAGTTTGGGGGTCCTTGGCCTGGAAAACTTTGAGGACCCCTGCTTTAAATCATACATAGAAAAGTCTATGTTCGATGTTGGAAAGTTATGTTCATATCATTCATATATATCTTTATCCAAGAGAACAGGCTGAAATATACAGATATGATTAAAGCTTAAAGGTGTAAATACAAGGAAAAGGCATATTATTAACCAAATAAGGAGGACTAAACAGATATGTATGCTTGGTTTGTATTTTATTTTAAGCAGAAGTGTTTGGGAAATGTTTAAATAAGTCTGTATTAGGAAAGAAAACTCATTAAATGATGAAGTCCCCTGTTTCACATTAGTATTCTGCTTTGCACTGCCCTATAATAGGGTGTAAATGAAAAAGGAATAGTTAAAAAAAAGTTTAATAGTTGTGTATTATTGTGTCAGATACAGAGCTGTTTCTGAATTTTTAAAATCTTTAAAGATGTGTTGATACACCAATGAAAAATAACGATATAAGAAGCCTGTTTGCTACAACATAAACTCAAACCAATGCTTCACATATGTATTAGTGTTTTAAATAAATATTGTGAATGGGAATAGTTGAGGGTTGACATAAGGAGGCAGGGTACTGATGCTGGACAGGTAGGATGTTTTCGTCCCTGCTCCTCTCTCAGTCTCTTATAAACCCGTCTGCTAGCATTAGCTTCTACAGCGACCAAAATGTGCCGATTACCAAAGCGTCCGAGACACCAGGAGCACATACAGGGGTCAAAAACACGGATGAATGGGCGTCTGTGGTTTCCTCTCTGTCTTTTACAAGCTTCCATTCAGTCTACCGGACTCCCTCAATCTCATCAACAAACCGGACCAAACCAAAGCAACGTGCCACAATAACCACTGCCCGACAACGTTCAGACACAGGTTAGGCCGCAATGCTGTTTCGGTTGGTCTACGTCTCAATTTTCGGCAAAAATACCCTGAAATAACCATCCCAACCACCACCTCGACTCTCATAGTAATAAATTCGGGGTGCTAAATTTACCTTTGCATCGACACACATGGCTTTCTCCGTCTCACAACACTGTACGATTACAGGAAACGGCCAGGGAAGAGCAGGAACTAACTTCTTGCCAGAGAGAGCGCAGAAAGGGAGCCTATTCTGCTGCCGCTGAGTGATGATTGGTCAGTTTTCTCCCGGCCGGCGGCAGACGGTGTTTTCATTGGCTCGGCTGAGTATCAGTCATTTCTACTCTCTCAAAAATGGGCGGGATGAGATCCCGTAGTTTGGTTGACAAAACAATAAATGCGGCCTAGCTAAGATCATTTGACTCGGTGATCTTCATCATTGCAGCCTTACAGCAGATGATACCCTCAGCTCATATAGTCGCTTCCGGAGTTTACTTTAAAAAAATTCAACGTAGTTTAATGTTTGAATTAACTATTCAAGACGTGTTTCTATTTGAATGAATGGTTTTTTAGCTTTTTATTAGACTGGTCCCAAGTCAGGAATAAACCCTCATCACATGCATGCAGACCCCTTCTTTTTGTGTTTCGGTTTAATATTTTTATACCTTTAAATGCAGACTACGTGATTATCCATTGCATCCTGTTCTGTTTATCGCTTCTAAATTAGATATTTCATGCTTTGATAATGTTCTCCGCGCGTCCAGAGCCGATTCAAGCATCCAATGTGGAGTTTTGGCGCCCTCTAGTGCTTTCATGCAGAACACTTATTTTTTAGAATTTCTACTACGAGAGAAGGGTCAAATTATGTGACAATCCTTAATTCAATCTTTTTTTGTTTCTTTGTAGTAAAATGAAATGGCATCATGTTTCCAAATCCAAAATTTCAATAGGTCGTTATAATGAGATGATAAACTCAAACAAAAATATCAATATTTGAGCTCTCATGCACTATGATTGTGTGCAATAATGCTCCACTAGATGAGAAATGGAATTTTATCATCAATTTCGGATTTTTTTTAATGTTTATATGACTCAGGACACATAAAAAACACTTTTTTCTTCTCATCGCAGTCTTGATCCAGATAGTTCCAGAGCAAATTTATCTGATAAAATCATTTCACTGATTTCCTAACTATTTAGGATTTAAATCTGGGCCACAGAATGTAAATGTTTTCAATCTATTTTGTGTTAGTTGTTCTGGAGTGAATTTGATGCCTCGCTGTCCTTCTCAAAACCAAATCGATATCTAATGCCTCCACTTAATATCTTTGCAAATAACTCACACTTGCCTGTTGTTTTTCCTTGGCGAGCTCTGCACTGGCCAAACCAAACCATGGTTTGATAAATGGCTGATTTGGTTGCAGTCTTAGTAATGGTTTATCTGCCTGTTAAGCCATTTTAAAGCAAAGTAAGTAACAATAGTAAAAAAATAAAAAGAAGGATAATTTTTAAGCATAAAATCTCTTTAAAGAAACAATTTTCCTCTTCTAATTTAATCAATATTGACAGCTGGTCTTTTTTCCATATACTTGTTTACCCTTAGCTAACCATCAGATTTTTGGAAACAAGGCAGCATTTTTATGGTTTTGTTCAATTTTAGTTATTTCAACCAGATCCAAACTATCTGATCAATCCATATTAAATCCAAATTGTTACCATAGAAGCAGAATTAGGAATTTTAGTAATTGAGATAAATTAAATGCATCCACTGGGAAAATGTGTTCATTTAAAAACGGACTTAAGTGTTGTGATATTTAATGTGAAGTTATAATGGGAGCTTAATTTAGTCAACAGATCTACTTTAATAGTCTCCAACAATTATGTTTTTGATCATGCAACCTGCTGAAAGATTTTGGGGTATGCATCTTCTTCTTCTTTTACAGATGGACACATTTCTAGAAATTGTAATATTCAGGATACAATTTTTGTTGAAACAACAAAGCCGAACAAATGCTTAAAAAAAATAGCATTTGTAAAAGAAATGCCTTTGCGTGAAGCCCTAAAAATTAGCTCCAGCCCATGCAACCACATAGCTCTAAATTTATTCCTACATGCATGACAGTTTTAATACGAACACGTGGAAGGGGAACAAATAGAGAAACAGAGAGAGGTGGTTCTGAACCAGAGAAGCGTAAATGATAATGTGTGACAGTGGGCCACATATTATCCATGGAAGTCCTGCAGGGATGAGCCGACAGGCACGCCAAAGCCTCCATCTGTCCATGTCTCTGCAAGGAGTATCCGCCACACTCGGCACTTATACCGAGTCCCATGCTGGTGTGCCTGGTCCAAGCCAAAGCTAGCCCGGCTGGTGGGAGCTAAATTTACAAACCGCTGCCGTGGAATTGGGTAGCACTAAAAGGGCATGAGAAAATCTGCTTTGCATTTGGAGATTAAACCGTCCTACTTGCAGGTGATTGATAAGATATATTTCTGTATACAAATACACACTCTGCACAACTGAGGCCATTTAACTTCTTTTATATTTGTTCTTCATATAAATCTCTTAATAAACAGATGTTTTTGTATGATTGCTGACATGTAAACAGAGGCGAAAGATTCATACAGTCAATTCAATCAAAACACTTTTTCTCAAGCTGGACAGGGTATTTGGAGCACAGCTGTTTACATAAAAATCTGGAAATGAAACATAAATTAAGGCCTGACAGTATATCAGCACAGAAGCACACGGCGCACATTAATACTTCATTACAATCATAATAGTTTTTAACTAAATATTTTGCAAAAGGACAGAACAAATAAAATATTTTCATAGATATTTTGCAGCTTTTTATCTTAGTTTTCTATGTATAGATCTCTTTAATTCCGAGACCTCAAAATCTGATGAGCAGTGCCTTGTAAAAGCATGCACCCTGAACTTTTACATATCATTTAAGGTTATAACAATGAACCTTAGTGCATAATTGGAAAAAAATGTTGAGAAATTAGTTTAAAAAAAATGCAACTTGCATTTGTATTGAACTCTACTTATTCTAATTCCTTTAAATGAAAACCAATACAAAAAAAGCCTGCAGAAGTAAAGTAGTTAGATAACATAATTTATCTAGCTGTTGTTCTGTGGTTTGTTAGAGAACTTAAATAAAGATACACAGTAAAAAAGTTTAGGCGAACGTTAGGTAAGTTTTACGCTTGTTTAAGTTTTAAAATAACCATCAGCCATGCACAACTCCAAACTGGATTTTATGTAACAGAAGCTAAAAAAAAGTAATAAGAAGCTTTGGGAAACTGTTTGCAGCGACTCTTATAGGCGACATTGAAAGCCTGCAGAGGAAGTAGCTCTGGTCAGATGAGAACAACATTGTACTTTTTAGCCTGTACATGCACTGCAAAAACACATGTACAGTAGCAATGGGGAAAAATAGTGTTGGCAGCATCATGCTGTGTTTGCTTTTCTTCGGGCAGAACAAGGAAGCTGCAGAGAGTGGCTGGGAAAACACATGAATGCGGATACAGGGAAATCCTGAAAGAAAAGCAGCTACAGTCTGCAACAGGCTTGAGACTGATTACTCAAAGTCAGACATAAAACCATGTGAAAATTCAGTGGCATGCTTTCAAACTGATGGACACAAATGATCTTCGTCCAACATAACCAAGCTTGAAGTATTTTTTAAAGAAGAAGACTAAGTTTTAGGTTCAAGAGGTGGAAATCTGTTGGAGATGTTCCCTAAAACGATCTGCAGCTGCGGTGAAAAGTTATCACATTTTAAAGAAGTTCAAGGGATTTTCCATATTTTTGCTAAACACCGTGAATCCCCTCAATCACAACTTTTTTGTTAATAAATATCTTAAATTTGCAACTTTTTCACAAGGGAAAGACCAGAAAACCGGAGAAGGTGGAGTACTTCCAACCCCCCATCAGGTTCCCCCTCTCCAGTCTGAGGTAGGCCTTGTCTCCCTTCTCCAGAATCACAAGGCCTGCGTTGGTAGCCGCCTCTCTGGTCACGTCTTGGTCCCCCGCAAAGGCTGAAATCATCGGCCATCCGTTCACCATCAGACTGACCTAAGAGACATTAAACACATAGATCGGACCACATGAATCAGCTGGAAGGTCAATTGCAACTGCTTTAAGTGAAGTAAAACAATACCTGAATAGTCTGTCTGTTGTAGGCCTTCACGACATGGAAGTTGAAGCTGTACACTCCTCTCCGTGGAGCTACAAAGACGCTACTCTCCTGGTCAAAGTGGGTGCCAACATTGACTAAGATCTGAGGGGATTTATCGAAGAAAAACCAGGCAGAATAGTTTATGTTAGCAGGATAAAAGAAACCCAGAGAAGAGTTAAGTGCATCTGTGATTGGTGAATGCCTTCTGAAACCTACTATCATACCCGCTCCAAGGTCACTCAAATAACTCTATTTATACAGTTGGAACTCAGTCTCATTGATTCTCTCTTATACATCTGCAATCTAAAAAAAGCTTTAAATATGCTGCATAATCTTACAGTTTTGTTGCAGCACACTAAGCCCAAATGTTCAATCTTTACCTCATTATCATTTTTCCTCAGTGCTGGGCTCAGTGGGCAGTAATCATATGTGCATTATTACTGGCAGACGTGGGACAACAAATGCACTCATTTTCTTTCACACATTTCAAACATTAGAACTTCCAGAGTTTCTCATTATGTGTGAAAAATGTGTCCAGAAATGAAACCTTAACAATCCAAGATTTAGTACACATAAAATCACAATTTAAACTCAGACCAAGACAATAGCTTGAGGGCTTAATCTTTAATTTAAACTCTGATAAAATAATCTTTAAGCGTGGGGGGAAAAAAACACTATATTGTCTAAAAAATATTGTTACCAAGAAGTTTGCAGCTGTCTCTCTCAGGAAACTTGAACAATGCATTTAGAAATTAATATAGACCCGATGAACAGTTTTGTGACGGGTGTCTGACGACCATCAAGCCTAAATCTTTCCCATTTATTTTTCCTTCCTGCTTTGACGTACTCAGCTCACCAACACCAACTTTTTAAAAACTTACAAACAAAAAAATAAAACAAAAGAAAATGTACCTACCTGAGCAACATAACACACAGTTGAGGTACCTCTAATAAAACTACCTTTAGAATGGCTTAAATGGTTGGTAAGCAGAGGAGGTAAAATAGAACAAGGAGAACCGCAGGTCAAGTGACTCATTGTTGTTTATAGACATAATGGGACACAGCTCAGGCCAAAGTAAAGTTTTGGTTTTAGGATAAGTCTGTGCTCTGGTCTAATGGTTAATCTTAGTTACATTCAAATTACTCTTTAATTTCTCTTCTTTCTTTTCATATTTATTGATTAAGATGTATTACTTTGATAAATAACAGATCAAATATTGAATCTGGGGCTGAGCGATTCCCATTTAGTCAGCTTTCAGTCAGTTAAAGAGTCAGTTCTGTGTTTCAGACCATTAGCGTTCACAGACTTTTTGAAGGGCAGGAGTGGAAAGAAAAAAGAAAGAAATGTCAATATAATGGGCCCTTAAGCAATGTCCTGTATTTATTCTACCCAGCCACTGAACCAGGTGAGTCAAATCTGCACAATGATTTATAATGTGCAGATTGGACTCACCTGGTTCAGTAGCTAGGTAGAACAAATACTTTAGCATGTGATTTGATTCCAAGAGGGTAGTTTAGCACGTGTTTTGGCTCCCAAGGGGCACTGTAGAAATTGCTTTCACTCCAAGATGGCAGTTAAGCAAGCATTTGGCTCCAAACGGGGGGCATTAACACGTGATTTAGCTCCCAAGAATGAGTTTAGAACAAATTTTGGCTCCCGAGTGGGCATTTGAGGGCAGTTTAGTACATGTTTTGGCTCCCAAGGGGGACTTTAGCACACATTTTGGCTCCAGAGAGGGAGTTTAGAAGGATTTTGGCTCCCAAGAGGGCAGTTTAGCACAAGTATTGGCTCCCAAGAGGGCACTTTAGAATGTGCAGTGGCTGGGTAGAACAAATACGTGGCATGGAGATGACTTGTTGAATCCCTATCTCCCACCTCTGGCACTTTAGCATGTGCTTTGATTCCAAGAGGTTAGTTTAGCATGCATTTTGGCTTCCAAGGGGCACTGTAAAATTTGCTTTCACTCCAAGATGGCAGTTAAGCAAGGATTTGGCTCCAGAGGGAGTGCATTAACACGTGATTTCGCTCCCAAGAACGAGTTTAGAACAAATTTTGGCTCCCGAGTGGGCATTTGAGGGCAGTTTAGCACGCGTTTTGGCTTCCAAGAGGGCAGTTTAGGGTAAGTATTGGCTCCCAAAAGGGGGCTTGGCTGCTTTACAGAGGTGGGAGTTGTGGAGCCATCAAGTGAGCAACATTTCATGTATTTGTTCTGCCCAGCCACTGAACCAGGTGGGTCAAATCTGCACCATTAATTAAATTGTGCAGATTGGACTTACTTGGTTCAGTGGCTGGGTAGAACAAATACGTGGCATGGAGATGACTTGTTGAATCCCTATCTCCCACCACTTTAGCATGTGCTATGATTTCAAGAGGTTAGTTTAGCATGTGTTTTGGCTCCCAAGGGGCACTGTAGAATTTGCTTTTTGTCTCCAGGTGCATTAATATGTGATTTGGCTCCCAAGAAGGTGTTTAGAACAAATTTTGGCTCCAAAGTGGGCATTTGAGGGCAGTTAAGCGCGCCTTTTGCTGCCCAAGGGGGCATTTTAGCACATGTTTTAGCTCCAGAGAGGGAGTTTAGCAGCATTTTGGGCAGTTTAGCTTATGTTTTGACTCTCAGAGGGCACTTTAGCACTCAATTTTAACCTATAGTGAGGGGCATCCATCTCCTCTGCCCCCGCCCCCCTGTGCATGCCACTGTTTTTGACATTACTACATTGACATAACTTTGATATATAAATGATGCCCTTTTTCACAAGTTTTTTAATGCTACTCACATTATCGAAGTAGATGATCATGGTGCGGTTGCTCATGTCTGTTGGCTCATGATTGGTCTGCCGGCTGGCTGAGAAGGCCACTCGTCCTGAGCCAGAGCGGACAGACATACCCAGAGCACTTCCAGCGGGCTCGGATGAAGGAGTGGAGTCACACACCACCAAGCATTTCCCCTCCAGGATGATGGGCTCTGTGTCATTCTGGGCAAGCGTTTCAATAGGTACCCAGAGCAGCAGCAGGAGCAGCAGCAGACTCGACAAAATCAGGTCAAAGCGGATGGTCCAAAGGGGCATGACTGAACCTGAAATGTTTATGAAAATAGTTCCTTTATCACAACAGTGCCTAGACTGTCTGGAAGTAATTTCTGAGCAATCTGAGGGTTTAGGAAACACGGAACAGAGCAAACGTCAAAGTCTTGTCAACATCATCCATAGGGAACGTGACAGAAAAGCTCTTTTCTTTCCATCAGCAGAAAATAAAATAAGACAGACAAGATGCAGAGATGAATGTGGGAAGAGGATGAAAAAGTGATGAGGCAGGATTCTGGAGGAATGACAAGGGGACCCAGTAGGGAGCGAGAAAGAAAGACTAAGAACGGGAACAACTCCACTGAGTGACCATCTGTCTTATACAGAACCCCCTCCCTCCCTCACGCATCCTCAGCACACACACACCTTCACAACACCCCTGTCTCAGCATATGCTATAGATGAACGTACAAACAGGAGTTGGTCAGCCTAGAATCCTCCTCTGTTCTTCTGTCCGGCTTAAATTAAACACTGAAAAAACTCTAAACTAAAAGCTGTAACCATGTCTTTCTTTTCTTTAAAACTACGTATCATTCCATAAGATTACAAAGGAGAACTATTCCAACAAAAGATGGGATGAAAAAATAAAATCAAAGTGATCACCTGTTTTCAGCTGAAGAAGCTTGTGTCCCATATCAGGCAAACGCTGCTTGATCCGTCCAACTGAAGAAAGGCGTAGCAGAAAAGACCCTTGTTTTCCAGCTCTTTCTGTCACATTATCTCCCGGGGCTCCAAGTCGAGCTGATTGCAGCCGATTCGGAGTATCCTCTGATCCCAGTCTGAATCTCTCTCTCTCCCTGTCTGTTTGTCCTCCCTTCTCAGCCACCCCCTCTCTTCATCTTCCTCTTCTTACTCACCCTCTACCTTGAACCCACCCACTCATACTAATAAGGAAATAAAGAACGTTGCAAAGCTTCCAACGGCAACATTATCAACTAAATGGAAGCTGGTTTTATTTTTCGGAAGTTGGTTTTATAAGTGAGCCCAAACGAATTGAAGGTCGGCTAAAAATGAAAATTGTAGTTCTCAAAGTTAATATAAAACCATTTTTAGCAAGTAAAAAAACCAAATCATTTCAATTAGTCAGTAACAACTGTTTGGTTTTGTTATTTTATAAAATACAGTGCTGTAAAGGAGTAAAGGAGACATAAAAAGGCTGGATATCTATCTAATCTATCTATCTATCTATCTATCTATCTATCTATCTATCTATCTATCTATCTATCTATCTATCTATATATATCTATATCTATATATATCTATATCTATATATATCTATATCTATATATCTATCTATATAGATATATCCATATATCTATCTATATCTATATATATATATATATATATATATATATATATATATATATATATATATATATATATATATATATATATATATATATATATATATATATATATATATATATATATATATATATATTATAGGGATTGACTACACAAGGTTTCATTAAAATAATTGCCCAGAACGGGTCTTTCCTTGACATGGCTCTAAAACTAGCCCAAAAATCACATCTAATGGTTATTATAGTGACTTTGGGTGATTTATTTCCTTCCATTCTCTTACAGTGAGGTTAGAGATCTTGTTAAGAACCTCCTCATTATAGAGCACATTTTGTTCCATAATATTTTGCAAGCAAAAACATTTTGTAGTTTGCAACATAAAAAGCAATCCAGAATTGCAGAATTAGGAAACCAGTACAAAAAAGAGAAACCTTGTTGCACCAATTTTTACTGATATTTTATTTGTCCATATTTTTATTTTAGCAACAACATTGTTTTTGGGCATCAAGAGCGAGCGTTTGCATTGGGCTTGACACGTGAAGAATTTGATCTGGGAAAACGCAATTTAAAAAAGAATGTAATTTGTAAACTTCAGTCTGGAAAACTAAGATTTCAAAGATTAACATTTTAAAACATAAATCTGTATAACAATGTGAAAAAATAATGCTTGGGAAAATACGAAAAATATAATTTGAAAAAAATATACTGCATCATGGAGAAAACAGCAGAGTTACTCTTAAGACCGTTTTGTTTTTAGTAAGAAGTTTTCATTTCTGGATTGAATTTTTTCCCCCTTAAATTTCCTGCTTGCTTCCTTGCTGCAACAATAATGGAACAAGATGACTACTTCTACTGTTGCATTTGCAAGATAGACTTTTACCCAAATCCAGCCTTATTTGTCCAAGCAGTCTTAAACTGTTTAATTATTGCTTTGACTTTAGTTACAGGCAGTATAGTATAGAAAAAAGGATAGATTTCACAATGGAGAAATTCAACCCTCCATTATGACCCATCCACTTTGGGGAGCAGTGGGCTGCCACTGTGCAGCGCCCGGGGAGTCGCGTGGGGGTAAGGGTCTTGCTCAGAGAGCTAGAGTGCAGACTGTGGGGATCGAACCGGGAACTTGCAACCTTCTCAGAGCACAAGTGCACTGCTCTGACCACTAGGCCAACACTCCCCAAATAGTATAGTAGCTATTGTCTTTTAACCATTTCAGGTTTTATCAAGACTAGTAAATCTCTACTGTAGATATTATTTAACATGGTCTCTTGTCTTTCATGTTTTTAAGAGGACCAAAGCAAAAAAGGCCTCAAATGATTTCAGAGAGACTCTTTTGATCTAGTTTTGGATGACAAAGTTAATGTTTTATCGAAATTGTGATCCATTTAAAACTGTGTGAATTAATTAAAATAGCTTTTTTTTTTTATTTTAAAAGGATTGCTGTCACTATAATGGTGATAGAAAGGATTTTGTCTACAACATGTATTTCTTCTAACTATCCTACTTGTTGAATAAATGTACGCAAATCAAAGGTTAGATTGTCAGTAAAGTTTCAATGAAATCATTCAACTGAAATTAGAAAACATTTTTACTATGACTAGAAACAAATGTTCAGGATGCTTCAGATAAAAAAAAAAGACAAAAAAAAAAAAAATTTGGCTTAAAAACAGACTTTACTTAAATGTCCCCGACTTTGCAGTGTCGATATTGTTAGAAAGCATTTCTGGAATAAATGTTTACATGAACAAGTGTCATTTAACTCGCAGTTCTGTGTTAGTAGTTTCCACAGGGCTGTTTTCATCCTCACACTTTGACAATGGAGATGCGACTCTTGAGCTCAGCTTTATAGAGTCCCAAGCCTAAACACACAGGCTGAGTGAAGCTGGTGGAGAAAGTGTGGAGGTGGATAAGGTTGTTGGAAGGCCCCACCTCGGAGAAAGTGATGGTCCCAGAGCTGTAATCCACAGCTACTGCAACTCGATTGCCAACCATCTGGTACGTGAGCCGAGTCTTCCTGCGGTTGTGCCAGGCAGAGAGCTTTCTGTCGTGTTGCTGGGTCAAGCTCCAAGACACCTGGGAGCACAACAGCAACGCTTTCAGCAAAGACACCAATGGAGGGAAAGAGAAACACAACACATACTTCCTGAGTTCTCTGACGTATTGGTATTTTGCATCTCGACACACCTAAAAACTAAATGTACCTTAAGAATAAATTACTGGCATAAAGGTATTGTGGAAGATTTTTTAAAAGACCCTCCCTCTCCACTTAAAAAAAAAGCCCATTTCACCTTGTGCCCGCCCTGTTTAATATGTGCTTTCCTCATAGCTCATACAAGCTTATTGTGTCCAGAACCAGCAGGGACTATAGTTAACTCAGTTAACTGACCGTTCAGACAGAAGATCACTGCTTTTTGCTCCGTTAGTCAACTCCTCCTCCACTGCTCAGTGCATGCGCCATCTTTGCTATTAGTCGCCACTGTCGGGTAGCAACAGCCTATGGCGACATAGGCTGTTGCTGTGACAGCAAATCCAATGGCACAGGCCACTGTGACAGCAAATCCCATGGCGCTTTGCGAGGAGAGCTCTCCACACAAAGCATTCCAGGATATATCTAACACTTCTGAGGCCTTTCTGTTCTTCTCATACACTTCGTAGACACTTTTTCTCTTACGACCCGAAGCCATTTTCAAAGAACCACGGTAGCTCACCACACATATGCGGCTGAAAGTGTGCATGCGCATAAAATGATGGCCAGCAAGAAGAGCACGTAGGACAGCTTTACATAAACATATCACCAGAATGATTGACAATTAGGAGGACCAGTTATTTAGATGATCCATCCGGAATTAAAAGATCATCCTCTATGCCTTTAATTAAAAAACATTGAAGGGCGCCAGGGGAATAAAGCCAATATTTGATTCTTTGAGACCAAATCAGTGCAGGTAGAAGGTTGTACACGAGCAAACTCCTCTCATTTAGTATGGAAGTGTGAACAAAGGAAGGTAAAGGAAAACTATATATAAGCCTTGAGTGCTGACACTGTTGACCTACATTTGGGGTTGTGTCCCGAAATTGAATACTTGTCCTTAAAAGATTAATTTTATCCTCTCCAGATTTTCACATTTCTACAAAAGCATTCAGGCTAGAAAAAAAAAAATTGAGGCACATGGGGAACCTACAAATGCAAGGGGAAATGCTGCAATCATAAAATAGAGAGAAGCAATGGGCAAACCTGGTGTGAACACAAAATGCCCTGAAAAAATAAAAAGATACTAACATACAGCATATGCAAAGGAAAACTGCGGCTAGGAACAAAAACAACAGCAGGTTAAAAAAAAAGCTGAAAACTAGTTCCTTATAAAGGAAATGCTCCAAAATATTAGGAGAGTCGACCATCATTTTATATTTGACCAAACTCTTATCAAAGACATTTACAGAATGAACTCTATCTCTAATAGACCAGGTATGTTGACATGGACATGGTGTCTAATGTAACCATGTATCATCATACCAATGATGCCACAGTGACTGCAGAAAGTTTGAACTTAGCTTTTAAATACTGTCCCAATATAGATGCAAAATTGCTCTTATAGTCAGTTTCTTCCTTAATAAATCCCTTTCAAGTTTTGAGTGTTTACTTTTGAATACCCTACCCCTATGATTTTGTGCCATTTAGTCATAAGGATATGAACTTCATATTCATGAGGGAATTAAAAAAGTTTGGACCTGTTGCAGTTTGCTCATTTTACATGTGTACAGTATATGAAGTTGCACCTGGTATTAAGACAAGAATTGAGCATTCTGTCAAGTTTGCACATGTTTTCACACATGCAAATATAGCTTAGGGGTGCATTACCATTAGTTTACAGCAAATTCAAAATGTCCTGCAATCACAAAAATGAGCCTTGCAGGCTAAAAAAATAGGGTAATAAACCCAAAAATTAAATTTGCAAACAGAAAAAATAGACTCGCACAGAAACACCAAAAACATACGGAGGAAACAACGCTGCAAGGGAGAAAATATGCAATCAAAGAAAATAGGGAGCAGCAAAGTGGAAAAGCCTTGCAAAAATCCCCTGCTGCAAATACATAAATAACGCTAACACACAAAACACATGCAAAGGATAAATGATGCAAGTACCAAAAAACAACTCCAAATTAAAGCAGAACTAAGAAACATACCTAAAAATAGCCTGTTCCTCTGTCTGGACATTTTAAACTGTTTATTTTTATTTTTATTGTGCAAGTTTATGACATGAAAGAGGACAAAAAAATAAAGGTAACAAATGAGAATCAAAACGGGACAGGTCTCAAAGGTCTTGGGAAAGGCGTTTGCTCTGTGATGAGACCTAAAACAAAAAGAAGGATACAAAACTGATACAGACTTGTAAGAATTATATCTGCTATACTATTGTGACTTTAGAGTGATCCATACATCCATCCATCCATTTTCCATCACGCTTATTCCAAGCGCGGTAGCGAGGGATGCTGGTACCTATCTCCAGCTGTCTGTAGGTGAGATGCGGGGTCCACCCTGGACAGGTCGCCAGTCCATCACAGGTCAACAGAGACAAACAACCATTGACGCACACACTCACACCTAATGAGAATTTAGAGAAGTCATTTAACCTAACAGTCATGTTTTTTGGCCTGTGGGAGGAAGCCAGAGTATCCGGAGAGAACCCACGCCTGCACAGGGAGAACATGAAAACTCAATGGTGAAAGACCCCCGGCTGGGAATTGAACCCGGAACCTTTTTGCGGCAAGGCAGCAGTGCTACCCATTGATATATTTTTTTTATTTGTATCTATAAAACATGGATAGGATGAATAACTTTATGAGAGCAAATAAAACTAAAAAAATTTACAGGACAGGCAAACGGACACCGACTGTATAAAAGTAACAATTTGCAGTGAAATGTGGTCATGATATGAATCTTCTAGCCGAGAGTGACAGCGCTGTGCCTGTGGGGTGCAAGGCTCCTAGAGAGCAGTCAGTGTTTACAACAGTGTTATTTTAAAAATGTCCTTTAAAGAGGAATACCACTTGAACGTTACTAAGAGCTGCTTTAAGAAAAGCTGCAAACTAGGGTTGCAAAATAGAAATGATCCAGACCACTAGGGGGAGAGGATCATCAACTCATATTAGACCAGACCGTAGATATTACCAAAAACCAATGGCTGTGTGTCCAAACATCCACCCTGACCCTTCAATCACTGCATGGAATAGGAAACTATATAGTGGAGTTTTTAGTGAACACAGTCATCTGACCATTCGTACAGATGACCACTGTTTTTTGCTCCCCATTGGTCATGTGACTCCATCTTTTTTTCTCTCTCATCCCAAAACAAATCCCATGATGCTTTGCGAGGAGAGCTCTTGCAAAGCATTTTGAGATATATCTACTCATCTTGTGACCATGGATGCACTCTCCTTTTCAGGGTACATTGTGGGGAATTCGGAGTGCACTACTTTTTCCATCCACTAGAAATTCAGACACTTATATAAAATGGTGTAACCACTATATAGTGCTCTAAATAGGGGTTAGGGTGGATGTTCGGACACAGCTAATATCTATGGATCAGACCATTTGCAAAAACATAAACAGGATGCTTTTCAGCGGGCATTTGGGGGAATAAGGAAAAAGTAAGTTTCCCTTTGAATTTTCTCTAAGCATTTGATATTTCTGAGTGTCCTAATTAAGTCTCCATTTATATGTAAAGCTAATTGCCAACTTTTTTTTAAATAACTTGCAGTTGTTTGGCTACTTGCTTTGCAGCTTTTTTCCTTTCCGTGTCTTTTGTGTGTTACCAACATTTATGTATTTACAGCTGGTATTGTGTTTCCACTTCACTACTCCTTATTTTCTGTAAGTAAAGCTTTTCTTCTTTGCTTCATCTTTTCTTTGCATGGGCCATTTTGTGTTTTTGTCTCATTTTTGTGTTGCTAGTCTAATTTGTTTGTTTCTAAATTGAATTTTTGTGTTTTAAGGACTTTATTCGACCCATATTTGCTGTGAAATAAAGAATTTGCCCAAGCTTTGCACCCCTTGGCCACTATATGCAAACTCTTTAAAGATAAGTCCTTTAGAAGTTATATGACCAAGTCAGAGTTCATATCCACAACCTCTCCAGTTACATGAAAAACATTATTCTGGAGGTATTGTGTTAAGTTATATGAAATGTCTTTATCCTTTAAGCTTGGATTACACATGACCAACTAATAAGTGTGATTTTTCAATATTGTTTAAGTCAATTTTATCTAGGTAACCTTACCTAGATAGATTCTTCGCAAAGGTTAAAAAAAGGTTTCCTCTTCCTTATATGTATGTTTTTTGAGAAACATTTAAAGTTAAATGAGAAATAAAGTGCTCAATAGTGCAAGAAAACATATAGTCAAATCTTTACCGTCTGATCTCTGTTTACTGGTATAACTATGAAAGTGTGTCCAAGTTTATCTCATTGGTATAGTTCAACCTTGCACAGAAGCTGATTCCTTTTCTGCCAATTGGATAACTTTCTTTGTTCCCTAAAGTCAGGTTATCATATTAAAACCCTTTCCCCCATCTTTAGAAAAGATGAAATGACCACTGACATGTTTGACGGTGCACCCAAGGTAATATGTGTAGTTTTAGTCCTGGTATTGTTTTAAAGTTTGATGTCTTGGTAGGTCTGCAGTGAATTTGTTGCAAATCGTCAGATGAGACAGATGTGCAAGGCATTGCATGTGTTTTCTTTTCTTTACCTTGTTGTTTCCAAATGCATTTCCTTCTTTCCCCTTCCGTCCGATGCTGCGGTAGCAGACGGCAATGTCCCAGAATCCCTCAACCTCCAGCTCCCAATAGTAGGTCCCCGAAGAGAAGGTCTGGACTGTGAGGACCTGCGGCCAGTGGTCAAAGCGCTCAGGGTGAGCAGCGCGGGGAAGGCGGCTTTTTACACGTGTGACTGAACGCAGATCATCAGAGATGCTCAGCAGAGGATGTGCAGAGTTTGTGTCCAAGGTCAAAGGGCTGGTTACTGTAGGGAGTAAGAGACTCATCAGTTATCTAAAAAATAACATGATATGTGGATATGTATTGAGTACTGTATAACTTATATAATATTTCATTTAAACTCCATTTTAAGCAGATTTTACTCATTATGTCAAACTTTCTCTATCCCTTGAAACTCAGCTTTTTCTCCCATTTTATTGGATTGGCTAATTTTATGGAATAAAAAATACATATATAGTATAAAACATAACTGAAAATCTTAAAAGTAATTTTTATGGTTTTTGAACCTTGTTTTCCTCTCATCAGACATAAGGTAATAGGGTAGCAAATTCTGGGAGGGAAACCAGTCATCCTTTTGCCACGTGACACTCCCCGGGGCATTCTGGGGGATCGTCCTAATGGATAAAGCCGGAAAAACTTTACAGACTTTTAGGCCCCGTCCACACGAAGCCGAACCCTGGCCTAAACGCACACATTTTTCACCAAACCAGCCTCTCATCCACACGAAGCCGGCGTTTCGGGGGTCTGTAAACGATCTTTTTTTTATTCAGCCTTCAGAGTGGGAAGATTTTGAAACGCCGTTTTCGCGTTTCCATCTTTAAGCTCTAACCGCATTTTTTTTTTTTATACGCATGCATCATAGCGTCGCCTCTTAACACGCATGCGCGACCAGTACCACAACAACAATGGCGCCGTACTGTGTTGAATGGTTGCTGCTAATGCTACTCACCCTGCTGTCGGGCTTACAACAGAATCTTCTTCTTCTGGAATATCTCCAGGAAGAACAGAGCAATGTCGACGACATAGTTCAGCACCTGAATTTGACTTAACCACGAAAATGGACCCGCAGGGTAACCATGTATAAATATTAGTGCGCATGCCCAACATTTCGTCGCTTATTTTTGCTTTGGCACCACAACGCCACTTACAGGCCTGGCATACATTTTGCAGCGTTTTCATGCATTCGTGTGGACGATCACATTTATTTTACGTCTCCGTCTTTACGACAAACGTTTTGGAAAATATCAGCGTTTCGTGTTCGTTTTGACTTCGTGTGGACGGGGCCTTATTCATTTTCATGAATTGAGTACGCCTGTGCATAATTAAGTCTCAGTATGTATCTCAGGGGTTTGTCAGAGAACAAACAGCATCACAAAAGTAAGGAGACAGGTGGGGAGATCAGAAATAAAGCTCTAGATAAGCTGTTCAACATGCAAAATCTTATGTGGTGGAAAACCAAGACTGTGCGAAACTCAGAACACATCATTCCCTAAATAAAACATGCAGCTGACAGCATCATACTGTGGAGATTCCTTTTTTTTCAGCAGGGATACAGGTCAGAGTAATGTTAACATCCAGGAAAATCTTGATGAAAAATGGAAACCACAAAAGCCTCAAGAGAAGTCTGTGAAACATGAATGCAAAGCTACTATGGATCAGGTTAGATTGAAGCATTTCAACCTGTTTAGAATGGCCTGGTCCAAGCAAGACCTAAAGATAGAAAATGTATCTTTAGAGAAGCTCATCATCCAGTCAGAATTAGTTTGAGCTGCTCTGCAAAAAAATCAAAAACCTCAGTCTATAGAGATGGAGTTTGAAGGAGAATGCTATATGTATCCACAGGGAGCAAAAGGATTTAGTAGCAGATCTTACACTTTGGAAGGGAGCCACTTTTTTAAACATATATGAACTGATTTTAATGAGAAAGTGTTCTTGGGAAAAAAAAAACCATTTAGGGATGAACAATATTTATATATTGGAATAGATATTTACACCCAGACCTTGTCAATCTTGTTGTTCAAATGGGAAAATATCTATGTGACCCTGAACATATTAAACTTTAAAAAAGTTTTGCCTGAATCAGAAAAGAGAAAAATGTAGTTTTCGACCAAAAGTCTATCCCTAAGAATGCAAATGCTTTTTCAAATCTATAGATCTTACACATGTCTTGATTAAAAACAGCTGATCCAGTTGAATCTTATTTCTGCAGTTGGTTTGAAGATTTGCTGTTTTTAGTTTAGAGTTAATAGTGGTGGGTCTGTTTGCTTCTTAAAAAAATTGATACTGCAGGTCAAACGTCAAAAAAGCATGTCCTTAAACAATTATATCTTCAGCTGCAGTCGCTGGTGAGGAACATGTTTGTTATCCTGTTTAGATTCTGTATTTATAAAGAATGTATAATGTTTTAGAGCAGCTTTTCTTTTCCTTCTACTTCACAAATATGCATTTTTTTTGTTTTGCTCTAACATATACAAATAAAATTAAATACATTGGGGTTTGTGGTTATAATAAAAGCAAATATAGGAAAATTTCAAGGGACATGAATAATTTTCCAAACGTAACATAACTACTGATAGATAAAAAATGGGTCATTAGAAAAAGAAAACATCATTGCCTCTACGTTGAACAACTGAATAGAAGATATTTAATAGGCTGGTTTATGCAGCCCATGGGTGTAATGAGGTACTCACAGAGCTCCTTCTTAAGCTCGCTGAGGCAGCGGAGGGTGGCAGTGATGAACTCTCGATATTTGCTCTCTATGTCTTCAATGATGTGCTTCCTGTCCATGCAGATGGGCTCAGGGAGGAAAAGTGGGCAATTCAGGTCTGCTAACAATCTGCAATACACCACATGGTCCAGAGTAAGAAAAGTCCCTGGAAAATTCCTTTCAATTATGACATTCTCTAAAGCAAACATCATCTAAACTGGACATGTCTCTTATTATCGTTAATTGATCATCCCAAACATTCTTAACAGAGGAATGTTTACTGCTTGGATGAAACATAAAAATGGCCTCTGTTGATTGGCTCGGACTTACTTTGTGTCATCGGATTGAAATGCCTGCAAAAGAAAAGGAAAGTTGAAAGCAATGTGTGACATTATGTTCCAAGAGAGATAAAGAAAAGTCAAGATCACCTCAAGGTTATTCTAAGGAAGCATGCTCTATTCTATTTTTCTTTATTGAATAAAAGGTTATTGACACAATATAAACTGAAAATTCTGTAAAAGTAGTTCAAAAGAATTCAAAAGGTCTGAATCAATTACATTTGCAGCATTTCTTTATTAATTTGCTTGTAAAAGCAAGTCTTTCTCATGGTCTTGATGCAGAATTTCAGTTGGACTAAAGCCTGAGCTTTACTGGAACACACTGGTTAAAATTACTCCTTTTAAACATGGAAATGACTTGAGTTTCCCTTACTCTTGAAAAAAAAAAGGTTAAAGAAAATTATTCAAAACTCAGCAGATTTCAAACATTTTCTCAAAATTTGATCAACATTGTTTCTCTGGCTGGACATGATAATAGAGACTATCTAGGGGGAGGGCAGATTAGGGTGACTGCATGAAGATCTTATAAATTCATAAACTTGCAATTTATTGGTAAACATAAATTGTACAAAGCAGAAACAGGCAGATGCTCTGAACTTGAAGTATATTTTTTTTATCTATTGCTGTTTGAATCTACTATAAACCCAATGAGCAACAGCTCTTTGCATTTTTCTCCTCCCCATCCCCCTCTCTTCTAATCTCTTCATGTGATGCCAACTTTTTACAGGGACAGCATCACAATTTTTGCTTTAACTGCAGCCTGGCAATCTTCCAGCTATCTCAATCTTCTCTATATGCACAATTTGGAGGTGCACCATCTTTTCTGAAGAAATCCTATAGCATAAAGCAAAGGTAGGCAATGTCATTTCTCCACTGCACCACTGTCCTGCAGCTTTTGCATGTATCCCTTGCATCACCTCCTTGACATGTCGGTAGGTTTAGCAGAGACCAACAGCAACAGCTAGGGGGCAGTGGAACTAATTGAATGGTATTGCCTACCCTTGGCTTACAGATTGCAGTGCATATCTATATTGATTCATAAAAGGTGAAACATGCCTCCATTCATTGGCATGAAGCCTGGGTATTGCTTGGTAACATCACTCTGGCTTCAGTTAAAGAAGGGACTGAAGCCAGGTGTAGTGAGATACTGTTGGTGCAAGGCCGACATCCTTATGCCTGAAACAAACTTTTTTCTTCACTCTGATAGCTGCAAAAATAAAACTATATCATTTTGTTGTTCCAGCACTGTATTGGGGTTCTCACTGCTTGTTCTTGACACAATGTCTAAAATTATTTTTTGCGGCATATCCCAGAACAGTTGCGTTGTTGGTCCTGATTTGGATAGGCTTTAAGTAGGAAGAGCAAACATAATTTTCCCCTTCTTTTTCAGGTTGAAAATTCCTGCTTGCCACAGATGCAGAAATCTGTATAATGATCTAAGTAATGGATAAATAGAGGATTGGCAGAAACAAAAAATACAAACATTTGTGTATATCTTCTAATATAAAGCTGTTAGCTCTTCCCCTCTTCCTCCTCCTCTTCATCATCAATCCAAAATTGCCTCCTCTATCATTTTGTTGCTGTTGTACTTTCTCTCCGGGGTGTGACAAAAGCTACAGGGGGCGGAGTACTCTTTGAATTCGGCAGATGACCTTCTCATATGTTTTCCTGAAGACCAGAGAAACAATTTTTTGTTATTGCCATTTCAAGGGCAACTTTTATGTTCTGACCACTGTTGCTACCAGCATCCTTAAAATATTTTGTGGAAGGGCAAAACAGAATGAAGCATTTACTCCAGAGAAATTAAATTGTTGGGATTAAACAGTTATATCTTGTATATCTGAATGTTTTGCACAAACTTTTGCAATCCTTCTTGCACTGCAAGTAAAGTAAACTTATATGGGTCTCTTTGCCATGCTTGCTGTAACCAAGTACCTATTGCTGCACTGAGTAGTTTGGAGATTCTCACCCAAATGAGCAGGAAAGGGTCAGTCTCTGCCAGCAGCAGGTTCAGGTAGTGCTGAATGTTCACTGTCTGGCTCATGTCGTCTTTCACTCGGGCGCAGTCTTGGTGCACACGCTCTATGATCTGCTGCCTTTCCTTCTTGGTGATCTCCTTTAGAGCCATCACCAACCTCTTCATCTGGACCTGTAGATCTGTGTCCAGCCGTTCCACCTGGCTGTTGTCCTGCTTTAGAGAGTCCTGCAGGATGTCATACCAAAAATGAACTAGGGCCATAAGAAACAGGGTACTCTTATAACAGTTTGTGTATTTTTGTTATTCTTTTGTGTTTGCCATGTTTGGACAACAAAAATCTAAATGTCATGAAACTGATTTTGTTTTAAAATCTCTTTTGCTGATTTCTGGGTTGGCTGGCTGTTTACTTCTGGTAATTGGAGTGAGCAGATGCACCCGTCCTTCCTCTAGCTAACCACATTGCTCCCAACTGTTAACACGCCTGTTACCTGCCTCTCTCTACCAGTCTTCACCAGAGTGTCTCCTTGCACTACCAGCCTTTCTGTGTGGACGGCGTGTCTTGTTTCTTATCAGCCTCCTACTCTGGTCTTTTCCTGCCTGTCTCCGGTTGTTCCACCTTTGGTCCAATTTGCTCAAAGCTTTCCTCCAGCCTGTTAGCAACCATCCCTCAGCTTAAAGCCTACATCAGCTTGTCAGCTGCTGATTCTGCACTCATCTGCCTCTTCGGGCTTGCTACCAGTCTTCCTTTCTGCATACCTGAACATTTCAAAAGCTTTCAATCAAGCTTAAAAAAACACTCCGTGTCTGGTTTAATACCATTTTCTTATAAGTTATTGCATCACACAAATATTGTTTGATTTTAATGATACTGTGATATTGAAGTAATATTACTGAATAATTTAGAGTGAATTAAAGAATGGTTAAAACTACAACATTTTGAGGTGTTTTAAGACCAGAAATAATTGTTGAAAATTGGGCCTTGGCATTGATATAATTTTTTCCCTCTAAGTACAATAATAGACATTGAATACCCAGTTTTCAATGTCTTTTCAAAAATCTGAAAATTACAGCTTTTCACCTTTCCCTTTTCAACGAAATGTAGATGTTGTTTATGATGTTTAATCATGTCATCTTTTCATTGTCTTTCCAGCCAATTATTGCTCAGTGGGTAGAAGACCATTGTGAAGGTTCAGTTTTATGAACCTTCAGATGTTGAAAATGACATGCAGCACAGATGGCTTGGTAGTATAACGAAAGAATCCAGTAATGAACAATTAAAAAACAGCAGCTTAAATACTGAGAAGAAAAATGACAGAGGAAACAGATGGGCAAATCAGTGGTAATGAAGAAAAGTTGTAGGAAGCTGAGGGAGGGAGACTAATTAACATGCACAAATAAATTCAAGCACAAATAGATGAAGGGAAGCTGACAGTAGTCAAAAGAAATAAATCCAAATGCAACATCAACTGCACACAAGATCAACAGAGACTTAAAACAAAGGAATGAACCAATATGGCAAAACCATAAATGAAGAAAGAATAGCTGAATATGGCAAGACCTGATGAACATAATAAATAACAAGAAAATTCCAAAATAGTTAAAAAACAATCCACTGGACTTAGTTTCCAAGTTTGAAGATGTTTCGCTTCCCATCCAGCTTTTTCAATTCAAAATGTCAGAACTAGCATTGAGTTCGAGGCTTTATAAAGTGGACCAAAACAAAGCCTTATTTTGCAAATTAAACCAGAAGTACGGGTCCGCTCCTTAGGAATGTGGAGTCGTTTGGTTTCTTTGTTAGCCCGCAATACTTGTTTATGCCCCTGAAAGGGGGATTGTTAGGGAGAACTGTTGGTCTGGCTGAACAGGCGAGATGTTCTAGTCTCCTGTATGGGGGTGGGGGACTCTATAACGCCTCAAACTCAATGCTAATTCTGACATTTTGAATTGAAGGAGCTTCCTGGAAGCAAAACGTCTTCAAACTTGGAAACTAAGTCCAGTTGATTGTTTTTTTTGTTTGTTTGTTTTTTGTTTTTTTACTTTTTTTGGAATGACTATGACCTGGATGACTGAGAAGCGTCACCAGCATACAACATGGAAACAATACAAAGACAAAAAAAATCTGTCAATTTGTAAGAAATGATGAAACACCCACAAATACCCAACTTAATATAGGTAAGGAGTATCACATCGGGCGCATATGATGAGAACATCATTACTAGTTTTTTAAAAGGAGTTTAGCATTGTTTAACCTTCCTAACTTGGAGCCTACTTGCATGGACATACAAAATTGTCAACAAGATACTTCTCGTCCAAGTAATTTTAGCCAAAGGAGGTAAAACTTTTCAGAGAAAAGTCACCCAAAATTGTTCCTTAACTTAAACGCATATTTTTTTAAGAGAAGCATAACAAGATTAGTCATTTAAATGTTTAGCAATAAAGACTAAAATTCCTTAAATGGGGTGTCTTATTTACTTCAAATGACAACATACAATATATTTAACTAAATCAGGTGATTAAAGATAATAATTTATCTTTAAAACGTTTTGTGCCCCCAAGGTTATGAAATAGCTTTATAATTTAGGACAACTTTAGCTGATAAAGTCAAGGTTTCAACTTACCGCCATGACAGAATCGATGTTTTCATGCTCTTTGAGAACTTTCTCACCCTCTTTTAGCTTCTTTTCTGCTTTACTGAGGAGATTCTGTAAGATGATCTGCAAAATGAAGAATCTGTTAGAATCTGTTGCGTAATTAGAAAGTGGTCATCTGATAAAACAAAAGACTTTGAGCCATAATATTCTAAACCCACTTTCTGTTGGTTTGACAAAGAAAATCCCAGTAATATACACTAAAGTTTGTGGTTGCAGTGTGATAAAATGTGAATGATTTTATTAAAATCATCAAGCTCACCTTCAGGTCCTCCTCCACTTTTTTCAGCGGCTTCACTTTGTGCAGAGCGTGCCCCCCCTCCAGCAGACAGTCCCCGCAGACATAAACCCTCTCATCCACACAGTAGTAACGGAATACCTCTGAGTGAGCAGGACACCTGCGCTGGGACAGGTCCCCCAACGGCTCCACCAGCAGGTGGCTGCTGAACGCTGGTCTCTCCAGGTGGGGTCGAAGGTGGTCAGCACAAAGCGACACCTCACACCTCAAGCAGGTTTTGACAGCCATCGGGGAGGGACCGTCCTCCCCCTGGAGAGGGCAGCAGTCACAGAGGACTTCACCATGCTCCTCCTGACATTGGGGGCAGGTGAAACAACCTTTTCGCTCCTCCTGAGGGACCCAGGCCTCACGGATGCAGGCAGGACAGAAGCTGTGGCCACAGGGCAGAGGGTGGGCCTGGCTGAAGCTGTCCCGGCAGACGGAGCAGGTCAGTTCTTCCTCCAAAGCTGCCATGGAGCTCAAAAGATGATGCCTAATGATGAATACAAGCTAATTGATTTGAAGCAGAATGGAGCAAACAAGTGAGTTGGAAGACAATCAATGAAGCTAGAAAAAATATAAACAGCTCTTCTCTTTGGGGCTCAAATGAAAGAATATTTGTGGCGGTTAGATGTCCTTGCTTCATGTAACAGCATTAGAAAGACGAGAGGGAAGCCTTTGATTTGTGCCAACTGTTCACTCAGACCAGTAATCCTGTCTACTGGGATTTTCACCTACTCTGTTCTTAGATTAGAACAATTCTCAGTACATACAAAATAAGTCGGCATAAAAACAGAAGAATGGCAAATTAAACACATAATAATCAACATTCTATTGAAAAACTGCTCTAACATGTGAACTGACATCCACAACTTGGCATTGAAACAAGATCGATGGCCCAAGTAGTCAATTAAAAGCAAGCAATACACAGCAGATGAGGAAAAAACAAAGCTATTTTCTTTTCTTTTTTATCTAAGGAAGAATGGAAAGATTAAAATACTAACCAAATGAGTATTGACTTACTGAGATACAAGCTGTTCCAAAGAACGGGGATCAGGAGATCATCCTCCACACCTTCTTTTCTTCATTCCTTCTACTCATGCTCTATGCAGATTATCTTTGATTTATTTTATTCCTGTTTTTACATATTAGCTTCTTAATTATCAACAAACTAAAAGTGATAATAAAACCCTACGTTACGCTCTACTCTCCTGGTGTTATCGGATTGCTGCCATCAGTGGAGGGCAGCTGGTAGATCGGCTAATCCCAACTGATTCATGGCAGTCAGAGAGGTCGCCTGACCCTAAATTGCTAGGGGGAGGTAGGAGGTTATTAGGAAAGGTTAAATGTAGAAGATTCTTAGTTTTTAGATAAATTTTCGGTTGTTTTTTTCCCCAGATTATAACTCCATACTAATTTCTGTTATTTGTTTGTTTATTTATTTATTTATTTATTTATTTATTTATTTATTTATTTATTTATTTATTTATTTATTTATTTATTAATAATAAAGTAAACTAGAGTAGATCAAAATTATGAAGTGGGAAGAACATGAACATAAAAATATTGAGTATGCTAGAGCTGCAATAACTGAGAAATGGTTAGCCACCTTTCTTGACATGTAGAGCATTTTTTCCAGAAGCGGACAGAGAGTACTTAGTACTCTGAAGGAGCACCTGAATGTCGTATCTCATCTGTCAATAGATGTCCCAGAGCTAGATGTTAGCCCGACAGATTTGCTTTCATAAGCAGACCACTATTACTGTTGCCATAAGGTTTTACTTGGCACTTGTGTATGAAACTTTATTGAAAATTATTAAGGGAGTAAAATCAAATACAAAGTCATGGAGATAAAATAAGCTTCCAGAGCAGTGGGTAGCCCAGATATCTATGTGTGTGGAAGGCAAAAATTATGGTTATTACTATTCAGGGTGGTATATACAGTATTTGTAGCTGCAGCTTAGTATTTAGTATCAGTGTGTATATGTGAGTACCTGGAACCAAACTCCTGTGGTATGTATGCATGGACTTGTTCTTGTATAAAGGGTTTACAAAGCTTCTTCAGATGTAAGATATGCTTAATAGCAGGTGTGGGCGGCCCCAGACTTGCCCTAGAGGGCCAAGGACCCAGAAAGAGGCAATCCTCGCCCCAGATATTCAAAAGCACCCCAAATCATGTCACAAGTAGGGCAGAATCAGAGATGGCTGCACCCACCAGAGAACTGCGGACGAGAACACCCGTAGCCCGACCCCAGGGGGCCCAGTCCCTGAGGGACCTGGCCCAAGAGGCCATAATGCCCAGGTCCCACAGGGCTGCGGCAGTCAGGAGCCCACCCCGACCCCAGTCGCAATCCAGGCAGTCCATCCCCCTAGGCCAAGTAGCCACCTGAGCCCATGTGCCAGAAACCCCTGAGTGTCACCTCACAGGGATGTAGGGGCAAACCGGGCCTAGGGTCAGGGCAGGCAGTCAGGCAGACCCACACCACAAGCTGAGGTGCAAAAGAGATACAAGGAGAGATACAAGCACAAGTGTTGTATCTCTTCTGCTGTACAGTAATGCCAGCCAGCCAGCTGCCCCACAGGCAATGGGCCTCCAATGTCCCAGACCCCCACCCAATGCCAGAAACCATCGCCGCAGCGGACGGATAAGACATCGAAGCCACAGGATGGGATCAAAGGCCGGGGAGCCCTAGGAGAGCCAGAGACCCCAGCCAAGCCATGACCAACCCAAGGGCCCTGTCCCATCCCCAGGCCAAGCAGCGAGAACAGAGGTCTGAAAATCGCCGTGCCAGCCCCTTCCTACTCGGATATAATGTTGTTGCCTGTTGGACAACTGTGTATTTAAAACTTAATGCATTCCAATGACCACAGGTGGGAATGAGGATCGGAATGCATCCAGTCCCCCAAATATGTCCTATAAGTATGTCTTGGAAATGTTAATAAATTATGCTGACTAGGATGTTCATTTAAAATTGGGGCATAGGCCACCACCAGCATGGGAAGACCCACCCTGGTGATGATCTCTTCCCCAAGGTCCCATGTGAGGTAGAGCAGGTGAGGGGAATCAACAAACCTAAGTCATGCTGCCCTGCTTATTTTGGCTTATCAGCTTTTGTTTGAAAGTTTGGTATGTCTCTTTAACACTGAGGAGGAATAAATTCACTGAACCTTGATTAAAATCCCTTTATCACTGCACAATAGTAACCTGACAGCAGCCAGATGCATGTCTCACTCCGCCTAGCTCCACTCACATATGTGAGTGGAGCTAGGCGGGGCGAGACATGCATCTGGCTGCTGTCAGGTTAGCACAATAGAGGGTATCCTGACATATACATATACAGTGTGGTATGCAAGCTGCACTACATCCAAGAAGAAAAACACCTCCAGTTGGCCATCAAGACAGCTCAGTGTGTCACTGGCTCTCATGCTTAGAGGAGGTCTAGTCCAGTCATTTCCTTCTAATGAGCCACAAACTTCAATGACGACCCAATCCACCCAGGATCAACCTTTCCTCTGGAAGAATCAGAGCCTAACTATATTAGCACTGCTAAAAGAGTTGTTATTAAATTAAATTACATCCTTAAAAAAAAAATAGAACAAAGCATCCTCTTCTTCTCTAGAGCATTCCAAACTCAGTGCTCTTTTTAATGGGACATTGTGAACACAACTTAGTGTCCAAAATGATTCCATAATTTTCTCTAGATATTTTTTAGCAGTAGTTTTCTTGAGTCTTTACAAAAAGGATTTGTGTCATTTATAATGCACTGCTTGTGCATTTAATCTTGGGTATTGCTAAATAAGTCATGAGATAGTTTTACATTTCATGTGTCACGTTTGTCCGAGTTCCTATCTATCTAACTTGAGAATCAGGCAAGTATCCAAAGAATGATTCAGAATTGGTAACATTATATGATTTAGGATGGAATAAAATTTGTGGATCAGTGTTTTAAAACCTAATAGTTGATAAGCAGCAGGTATTATAAAGCTTGCCTAACCCCGCCATCTAGTGGGTATATTAAGTCAAAGCACCAGTGGGCTGAGTTGCCTTTAATTCCATATTGCAGGTAAAGAATGAGGACTGCTTTATCCTTCCTGTAGCCCAATTGTGGAGACAAAGGAATATAAAACACGCCCCAAAGGTGTTGTTTACAAATTAAGATCTTAAAATTTGGGCAGTTGTATTTGGCTGAGCCACATGTTTTTTGCTAAACCATAGCTGCAGGGTTTTTAGTTAGCTTCCCATCCGGCATCACATATTTTAGCATCTTTATCATACAAATATATATTTTTCCAGGATTGCTCATAGCAACTTCCTGCCCCTGCTGAAAAAAACTCATGCAGCATGACTCTGCCACCACCATGTTTTCTAGCAAAGCTAACATCTTCAGGTTCAGGTCATTTTTAGACACAAAGCTTTTTGCGCATAGACTTATTTTACTGTATAGGTGCTGTGTTCCTCTGACTCATCCAGTGAATAGTTTGACTTAAACTGAAAATAATTATTATTCAGAAATTGATTTAATTTAATCCTTTTTATACACAGAAATATTTAACCAAAATTTTAAGAGTTATGTAAATTTATTACAAAGCAAATTCAATTCAAGTCAGATTATTTATACAGCGCCAGTTCACAACAAATTTCATCTCAAGGCACTTTACAATGCAACCAGATCATACAGTCAAATTGATTCAAAGTTTTCTATGTAAGGAAAACTGGTTTATTGCATTGACTGGAAGGCAATCCCTCACACTAAGCTTCAATGTTGCTTGTAGCAACATTGAAGAGGAAAAACTCCCTTTTAACAGGAAGAACACTCCAGCAGAACCAGGCTCAGTGTGAGCGGCCATCTGCCGAGGCCGACTGGGGTTCAAGGTGACAGAAGCGGAGATACAAAAAGAAGCAGTGATACAAAAGGCAACTGTAAAAGGCGGCCCCATTCAGGAAACACCCAGCCAGGGTCCCATGTCAGAGGATGAAGAGAGCACATCCAGCCAGTCACAGTCAGGGAAACAGGACTACATTGAAAAACAGGCCAATCTTGAACATCTATAACCAAAGGTGTTGATGGCAAGAGCACAGCTGTTATTCCTCTCCAGGATGGTGTCCCCTCTAACTATAAGTTTTATCAAAAAGGAACGCTTTAAGCCTAGTCTTAAAAGTAGACAGGGTGTCTGCCTCACGGACTAAAACTGGTAGTTGGTTCCACAGGAGAGGGACCTGATAACTAAAGGATCTGCCTCCCATTTTACTGTTAGAAATTCTAGGAACCACTAGTAAACCTGCAGATTGAGAGCGAAGTGCACTGTTAGGAACATAAGGAACAGTCATATCTCTGATATAAGATGGAGCTTGGCCATTTAAGGCTTTATATGTGAGAATGAGGATTTTACATTCTATTGTGGATTTAACAGGAAGCCACTAATCAGAAGCCAGGATAGGAGAGATATGAGCTCTCCTTTTAGTTTTCATCAGAACTCTGGCTGCAGCATTTTGGATCAGCTGAAGGCTTTTAACTACAGTTTACTGACTTCCTGACTTCCTAATTTTAAAGATCTACAAAAGGTGTATTTAATAGGTTTGTGTTACACTTTTCTAAAGAAGTTAAAGGGAATTTGGAATGCAATAAAATTGCATAATTCTATGGGTGAAATATTTCTGTGAAGCTGCACTCAATTTTATTTATGGATATCAAAGTAAAGGTGACCGGATGCAAATGTAGGCCACAATTATTAATAAAACATATAACTCGTTTATCCTTCCACTTCACAATGATTCACTTCTTTGTGTTGGTCCATAACATCAACTCAGTAACTTCAGACTGCAACAAAATACTTTTTATTTTAACCGATTTGGGGCTTTTAATTAGTTAATTTACCAATACATATGAAACACGTGAAATTGATGTAAGTCATGAAAAATAATGGAGATCTATAAAGTAGATTTGTTTAAATCTTTAATCTGATTTTTTTTTTTTTTTTTACTGGGTATCCATTGGATTGTTCCCATGGTTAGTCTCTCTTTGTGTTGAAGAGAGGGTCATAAATTATACCAAACAGCTTGCCAGATTACCGAGCAGACAGAGGGACAGATAGGGGACCGCAGACAGTCAGGCCACAAAAACAGCGCCCCCCCCACCCCGGACAAATACAAAGAGAAGAGGAAGAGAAGCGCCTACAGGGCCCACAAAATCAATCCTGCCCCCGGTTTACTCTCTTTCTATCCGCAACGCCCCTATTCCCCATCCTGCAAACACATCCTGGTAGAATAACCTTTTGTTATGCGAGTTAAACGCAATTTGCGACGGGCATAAATAATTGAGAAAAAAATGCAGCTCTCCGACTGCGCATCCCCGAGACTGAACAGGGAAATAGTGCGCCAGTGTCCCGGCTGATCCAAGCTGAGC